CATTGCACATAAAGAGAACGCCAGTGTCAATCAAGTAGGTGTAGTTTTTTTTTACCTTCGACCTTCACTCCTACTTCCTTTCTGAAGTTCCTTCGTCTACTTATAGCCTCCGCCTCCCTCCACCCCACCATCTGAGGGATGCTAAAACTACTTAATTCATTCAGTGAGGTGATGACTCCCATATATTGTTTTTTTTTCTTTCACCAAATGGACTGCTTCTCCTCATAGATTCAGCTTGTCAATCAACTGATTCGAAAGTGACAAATGCGGAGAAACCACCATTTTAAGTCATCTCAATGACTATTCTAATAATATTGACAGTGGTAACAAAGTAACGTGTTAAGCGCTTAAAAGTTGAAAGTATGTACACGGAATGCCTTGACGATTAAAGTCTTAACTATTTCACTGGAAGTCCTATGCAATTCTCACATTTTGCTAACCTTAAACCCTTTCCATCACATGGGATTTATTTGCTTTGCAGACAACTGTGCGTTGAATTAGCACTCATCTAACAAGACTTGGAAAAGTACAGATCTTATAAAATTCGAAAAATTGCCGCTCCTTAGTACTGAGTTATGGCAGAGGAAGGCGTTGCCCTTTCACCGCTTGGAGCTAAGAAATAGAGGGAATAGTTTGCTTTCCCCTTTTTTAAAGTTCACAAACCGAAGTCAAACATTGCTGCTACATTTAAAGTGTGCTTGTGTGCATGTGTGAGGTTAAAACTTGTTTGGGTGCAAACTGTACTACTCATAATTCGTACAAAAAAAGCTAACTTAAAGGTGACTTCTATTTAGAGTCACCAGCTTAACCAATTGTATCGTAGTTGTAATAAATCCATAAAATCGATTCGATGCGAGCGTGTGAATTGGCAAGGCCTATATAAAGGACGCCATTACAATGATTGAAGAATGGATGATTCGCATACGGTATGAATCAATGGCACCGCCCAGTATTAAGGTACGTGATTGCTTACAAAAGACATGCGAACAGTTGGCTAGTTCATAGAATATTACAGGTGAACTCCATTTTGCAATGACTCATCACACTGTGATTTGATTAATAAGGCGGGAAAACGTGCCTATTTTGCTGCTTATTTATTTTATTGCACCACTGCTGCTAACATCAGAAAACACAGTGTGAGTGCAAATCAGTGAGCACTGTGAATAAACGATGTTCATAGGACACCGATTACACAGATTAGCATGTCCGCAGCCTTAATCGGCTTGTATTTGCTGTGATTGCGAGTATACATATCATTATTTTTAACCATTCATCATAAACCAGTACGAGAATACGACAGTATCAACTGCACCCACACACACGCGCACAAATACTTTACAACTTTCGTAGTCAGAATGTTTACTTCTCACATCCAAACTAGCACCGGTTTAGTCACAGACACATTGGGTGAGAGTGGGAGTGTAATGAAGAGAAGAATTGCGGTTAGATTAACTTACTATTGGGAATCAGCGGTACCCGAGTTCGGAGGAGGAGAGAGGAGTTTCACCAGCTCCTCTTGTAGCAATGATTAATGTGTGTGTCTTGAGCTGTTGTTTAGAGGTCAGATACTGCGCCGAGATCGATTACTGTATTCTATTAGCAATAAACGGCCAAAACAAGGGGTTGGTGCGCCACGAGTTCGGTGAACTGCTCTGACACCATTTTCTTCTTTTCCGTTAAGGAAAAAGGTTTGTGAATAAACTTAATGCTTTTGTGGTCAATATTGGTCCTACAATTTTGGTTATTGCGTCCTTATATATCCTTGTATAATCGATTAAAACCGCATCGTCTAGTTGTATGGTCCATAAAACAGGCGATAATTAGTCTGTTAATCAGATCATCACTCTTCTGTTATCGAGGTTTGAAATCGGTACAGAAAGTGACTTAGTTTTCCTTAATATATCCTATAAAGAGGGGCACTACGTATCCACACGCATGCGGAGAGATTCACATGGCAGATAAATGTTTACTGGGAGGCATGCAACGTTATTATGGTGTTTCCGGTCCCCAAATAAAACAAAGTAAGAAAAAAATTCGACCACTGGGATGTGAAGCACCCACGACTGCTTATCGTCGACTCCATGACTCGAGTGTGCCTCGGAGGGGCGTTCCATCCACCGTTGAGTCACATAGGTCTCGACTATTAATTAATTAACTAGCATTCCGCGTCCTTTAATTTGAAGCAGATTTATTTTGATGATAATTCTCTATTGATCGCTAAAATTACGAGCACGAACCGTATTATAAACTGACTGATAGCTAGGATTTGGTTTACACGCCAAACGAAGCCAGGCGCGCGGCAGTGACGACAACGACGAGGACAACGTAGGGTGGTTAGAATTCTCCTACAGCGATTAATGTTGGGGCTGCACCTCTCTACGCCTAGCAGTGTCGCTGTTCGCGATGGCTGCAGCGCGAGGTGATTTACGACAAAGGAGGCCCGTATTTTGCGCTTACTGCGAAGAAGTTTGCAAGACCCGGGAAGCGAGCGAGATAGCGCATGCATGCATGCACGCGCACACACCGGAAAGCGCACTTGACGCGGATGAGCTGTCAGTTAGTAGCTTGCGTGTTGCGTGCGTGTCCCCTTCCCCCATCTGCCTCGTCTTAATGAATTGCACGCCTGTGCGAAACCCGCGTGCATTCACGCTCGCACGTACATAGGCACAAACGTACGCACAAGTGCACGCACACAGTCGAATCGGATTAGTAGGCCAGACACGCTTCCAGCGTTCCAGCTATAGGACGCCTGCATACGCACGCTTAATTAACGTGGTGATGTAGTGAGGCAGACACACAAACGCCCACACACACGCACACAGCCAGCCTAGCTTCGCGCGTATCCGTATAAGCGCTGTAATGCGATTGGTGTTGCTTTATTCGCGCGCAATAAACTATCGACGGGGGAAGGTAGGCGTCAGCCAATCAGGAAGGCGCAACACAACAGCGTGACCCAACTAGCTTTCAGGTTGGCTGAGGCGAACGCGCTTGTAGCTAGCATTTGTGCTTACGCGCGGTATCATTCATTTACGCGAGTGATGTTAGCCGCGAACGGGTCCGTAGGTCCGCCGTCCTCCAACAATGCTACGGCCTTACTGACGGTAAATGGAATCATACCGAACCAGCAAATTAATGGACAACAGGGAAGTCGTGCCACTCCTGTCCTTGCACCGGCTTACTTTCCCAATACTGCATTCGCATCTTTTCCTGTTCCGTTTTCTGGCCCGGCTTCAGTCGTACCATGCATTACCTCACCACCAACAGGGACAATATTTCAAAGTCCTGGAGGACAATTTCCTTTTAGCATGGCCGGTTCTATGCTTGTAGCCCAGCCACAACCAGTTATAAGTGGAACGCCAATAAGTTATTCGTCTTTCAGCCAACCGGTGAGCGTAGCGAATACCTCTCCCCCTGCTGCAGCGGCCGTGGTCTTGACAACACCAATAACCACGGACGTGTGCATTACGTCTACTGCCTCATTACCTGTTATACAAAACGGCACGGTATCGATCGCTCCCTCGACATTGCAGTCAGCAGCACCAAATCTCAATAATACCGTGACTGATGCTGCACCATCTATCAAATGCAAACCCGAAGTTAAACCGGTTGTACCTCTAGGATCAGTAATACCTAACACTCCAACACCTGAAGCAAATATGGCCTCCTTAGAGAAGTGTAATTTCAACCGCGATCTTATTCTTGAGGCAATTGATAAACTGCGTGACAGAAAGGCACGACCTGACATGGAACGTATTTCGTGCCTTCTCCGACGTCAGCACAATATTCCACCCTCTGACACTCAGATTTGTCTCAATCGGCTGGCGGAAGTTGGAGCCGTTGTCTGTGTTGACTATAAGGGGAACCTGAGTTACAGAAACCCCACCAAGTGGCGCAAGACAGCAACTTCAACCGGCACTATAACCAACCGACCAAATATCAGTAGACGTCTCATTGAAGCGGTTCGCACGCTGATTCCAGAGGGCGGAGACCCTAGTCAAAGCTTCACCTTATTCCAAATTGAACAAGCTGTAAAGCAGCTGAAGCCTTCCGTTCCCTCTGCTGCCACCCCCGCCGAGAATGAAGGGGACACCTCATCTATACCTTCCTCCTCCTCTGAGCTAACCGGGTCAAACCTTCGAGTGTGCATAGAACGGGAGGCGATATTTGGAAAGCTCGCTAAGTTGCCTGATGGGCGTTTCGTTCTTGACGAGAATGGAGATAGAAAACGCAACACCGGCCCCACTATTCATTTCAATCGACGTCCATTTTTGGGCAAGCTACCGCCTCAAGGTACATATGGTAAACCGCCGATAGCCCCAGCACTGGATTCAATTGGTGGAAAACCGTACAGTGTCCTCTCAATCGCTCCTGGTCGACCACTGGCTCGTAGACCTCCATTTACCACTGGTAAACGAGGTCGGCCTCCTAGTATTAAAGCAAAGAAGATGCTCACCTCCTGCTCTCAGCAACCCATTCTGCCTGCTCCACCGGACAATCTCATGACTCCTTCATTGGAGAAGGTAAGTCTCCCCATTCATTTCATCTGACCTTTTTTTTGCCTTTTCCTGTGTGTATGCACGCAAGCACATTGCTACTTTGTACCATCTCTATCTCGCACTGCGCTGTTGCCGCTGCTAGCAGCGGCGATGGTGGTGGTGGTGGTGGTGGTGGTGGTGGCGGTAGTGGCGCGATAGTGCCGCCGGCAGTGTAAAATACGAGCCGCTGGCTTGCTGATTTGCCTGCCTATGAATGTGTGTGCGTGCATGCGTTTGTGCGTGCGAGACATAAAGACCGACTCCTTTTCGCATGCGATTGGCGGAGAATGCAGGAGACTACTTTAGAGGCGGGAGTGCGCGTGTGTTTTCGTGGGGCGTGTCTCCCGCCCTCATCTTCCCACCCCCTTTCCTTCATCCTCGCTCTCTCCCACTCTGTCGTCGTCCCCAGGCCAATTAGGCGGACGTGCGCGCGTGCGTGCGTCTATGGGGGTGTGCGCAACCACGTACTGAATGCGCAAGCGAACGAACGAGTGATGGCAAACGGCCTGTCTCCGGCAATGACTCACCTTACCCTTGCGCCACAGCACTTCGCTATTTGTGTGTGTGTCGTTTTTCAAGCTGTCTGCATTCGTGCGCGCCTCATGCACGCACCCTTGCACACGCACGCACATGCACGTACGCACATCGTCGCATATGGTGTGTGTGCATGTGTATGTAAACGTGTATTTCCCAATCTCGATTATTCGATTTTCAACCAACATTTTCGATGCACTCAGGTGAGATGCGCACTTGTAGGCCAGTGGATGCTGCTACTGGCGTAACCCTAGATGCTCCGCCCCGGTTTTAACCAACCTGCCTTGCCATCAATTGGCATGCCCTTTTATAAACCTTAGTCAGCTTTTGGCTATCCTAATGCCTTAGTGCCTCATAAAGTAAAGTCACGCCTTTGCTGACTACTTGAAGCATTTCATTCTCCTATTCACTGGGAGAAATTAATGGATGTGAACTCCCTACAAAACAACATTGATTATGTTTCTACATTATACTTTAGCAACACGAGCTTTTTGTTATCGTTGGATTACTTTGTGGGAAGGAAAGTGCAAGCATTAACACGACACCAGAATGGAGGTGCAGTAGACAGCCTTGTCATTAATCACTCCAGTCGTGGTATCGAATCCGCCACATTTAAGAACAAAGAGTGCTTAAAAGTGGCCAGTGTTCACTGTGCCTCGTCTACTGCAAGAAAGGAGTTGGTTTAGGGTGGAGGTATCAGCCTCCCTTATTTGAAAGGCCCTTTTTACGTGAAGAACGTTGCTCCCAGTCCCTACTCTCCATCACTACGTATGAGTCACGACCTCGAAAGACGTTTAATGCGTGTTACTTAGCCTGAGGCGCGTGACGAGAGGAGGTTTAGAGAGCGTGCCTGTCCTAATGCCCCTCCCCTACGTGATGTGTCCGTTTTTATTTTGATCAGAAATTCCCGACAAAATAGTTTGCCATAATGCTGACGTGTCTAACCTGCATTTAAAGTCAGTTTCCACTTTAAAGGTAGAAAATAACACCTAGTTATGACACTCTGGTGAAGCCATAATAAACGATTTGTGAAGCCACCAACCTGGTTTGCCTAAAATCTTTATCACTGCGCGTAGTTGTATGTTCTAGCACCTCTAATTGTAGCCGATTTGTATCTGACCTTACCATGGCGTCGCTAATCGGCTTACAGACGGTCTACTGGCTTGTGCAGTTACTTTTTTTCCACTGAATCCATACCTATTTTTTCATTAGCCTAGTTGAAAGCTGCAATATAAATTTATGCACAAAATGTTCAAGTCGTACACTTTTGATACTTTTTGGTAGGCTTCAGCCCTCCTCACCACCTAGTGGTGTCGACAGGCGATGGGGGAAGGGAGAGGGAAAGGCAAAAAGGGAGCGAGAAAAATTCAACTTGAAATTTAGGTTCAAGGTCGCTTGATCTGTAAACCTTGGTACTCATCCATTCATCCACAAGCACGCTGTGCATCTAACGTTAGATTGCCTCGTGGGTATGTGCGTGAATGCATGTATGCATATTTATCAAATATTTCGACCACCGTTAAAACACACGCTATTAACCAAGGTAAATTTATATCGGTTCCATGAATGCTCCATTCATTTTTCGTCTTTCAGCGTCTGAAGATCGAGACGGTTCCAGGAGCAGCATCGACGACAGCCTTTGTCCCCTTGGATGGGACAGTCATGGTGTCCGCAACTCCGATG